ACAAGTTAAATAAGACAAGGCTCTAACATGACAAAGACAACTATTCTTTCCTTGGTGTGTTGCAGAAAGCAGCAGAGTAACTGTAGTAAACATTGACAAGAGAACGAGGAAGCGCGTATTGAAACCAAATCAGATTTTCAGAATCAATATGCATCTATGTATCGATAAATCAATATTTTTCACAACACCGTTTTGTACATTCATGGTCCCCAGAGAATGAAACCCAATGACACAGTTGATCCCCTTACACTTCCTCTAATGCCAGTGTGAGGTTGTCATTTGTGGCTTTAAGTAAAATGTCCATTGGATGGATCGTGTACCATCTATGTTTGTCACGATACCATAAATTTAGTAGCTGATACCAATATCAATGAAATTCCATGATTCCCAATCCCAGATTCTGTCCCATGGTGAAAAAGATAAACACTCCTTTATTAAAAACAGTTAGATTAAAGAATATTTCAATTTTATTAGTAATCCCTAATGATCCGTCCATAGTCTATGTGGTTTCATGAGATTTTGTGAGTGAAGAAACATTTCATACCTTAAGGTCCACAGAATATTAAACACAGGGGTCCTTGATTGTTGTTCAGCACTTTTACATGTGCACTGGTATGCATGCAACCTCCTCCATTTTAGGTAGCCTTGATTCAGTCTAAAATGCTTCTCTACCCTTTATCACAAAGGCAAATGCACTTATTCATCACTGCATTCTTTATGATTTGGTGGGTTGGACATCATTGACCATTCGCAGACAACACGCTGGTATATTTTCATCTATGAAGCAATATTGAGCAAACTTCCGTCCTGCCTCTGCACCCTTCTGTGTGTCAGCTCTGGTAGTTAGAAGCTACGCTTCTAGTGGTTGCTTTTTAATGGACCCCGGGTTTTAACAGATCTGGGGAAAACTGGGGCGAATCCCAATTCTCTTCCCTTAACCTTACTCCTTGGTGTCAAGTGCACTCGCTAGATAAATTCCCCTAAACGACAAAGGGGTGGTGTTGTGGGGTAGGGAATTTTACCTACGAATTGGGACGCCACTTAATGCAAATTAGCGTAACAGACGCGTTCACCTACATCACGCATATCGTTGACGTAGGCTTCAGCATTAATGGCTTCACGGAGAACTCTGAAGATATTCATGTCGGCTACATCGTGAATTACCGATTTTCAAGCGTTCATATTCTAACTCAACGCTTACTTACAATGCATATGCAGAAACATAACACATTCCGACATATTTTGGAATTTTTGCATGCTTATTTGCGAAAATAGTGCTACAGTTGTGCAATGGCTTTCTCATGGAGGCTGCCATCTTCCCGGAAAACTTGCCTTGCTGGATAGTTTCGCAATGCATCTTGGGAAATTCATTCGTCCTCTCAGTTGAGATGGGTTTGTAAGTGTGCATCGCACGGCCCTTCAAATTAAGTGGGGCTGAAAAGCACTTCTCTAAAGTTTGGGACACCCTAGCCCTTCGTGGGAATGCGCAAAAACAAGGGCTACGGCCAATTTTGAGGGGAAGTGTGAGTATTGGGACGGACCCCTGCATTTTTCTGCTCTGAACCATGGACATGGAACACTCATATCCACTGATGAATTTAAGGGCATCATAAAGAATGTGGTGACAGAGACAAGTGCTTGGTTTTCTTGAGGCCACTATGTTTGAAAAGCTGTTTTATTTTTGTATGATATGTTGTTTTTGTTGCATTTTTAAATGCGTTTTGATTGGCTGCTACCTCAGCCAGGTCTCTCTTGTTAAAGAGATTTTCAATCTTAATGGGACTCCCTGGTTAAATAAAGGTTGAATAAAATACATAAATGTAAGATGTGGGGGTTGGTCTGTTTTGTATGGTATCCTCCAATGTGATTGGATGGCTGGGTGACAGTGACAAGTGCAGCATTCTAACCAAAGCTGAAAGTTTCTCAACTTTTGAGCAGAAAATGTCAAATGTGCAGCTCTCAGCATGGAATAGACGCTCAGTGCCTCATCACGCTGCTGGCGTTTGTAGTGTAAATACACAGCGCTATCATTGCAATGAATTTATTAACATACGCTGCTCTCAGGAAAATGCACTTTCATTTTTGACAAGTCATGGCAGAGCTGTCACTGCAGCTGCACTTTTTGCCGTCCCCCACATGTTGTTGTTGTTCTGCTGTGCTGGTGGGTGTTCTTTTTCTTCTTCCTTTGGCATTTACCGGCAGACTAGAACACTTGTAGGCGTATGTGCTGCCCCATCAGGTTAGGAATGATTGCATTACCTGCACCTACTGTGTAGCACTGGAGAAAGTCTTTTAGAACTTAGCATCAACTTGGTACCAAAGTATTGGTTCTTGTGCCATCCTGAGTTAAAAAATATCAGCATTTGCATCTTCAGCATGTCCATAGGACACTTAATCTCGGTATACAAGTGTTTGGAGCCACTGCAGCCCATGATTATCTTGTTAATATAAGGTTATTGATATTTTTAAGGCTGTGTGATTGACTCAAAGCAGAGACTGCAAGAGCCATGATCAATCAAGTAATGGCAGTGTCCCAAATGAGTCTTTGAAATACTCCAATCAAGTAAAGCAACACATGACACCCTGCTTATTTTTTGTGAGAGTCAAGTGGGTCTTTATATAACGTCATGGAATCTATCCAACTTAAGGGTGCGTCTCTGAAGTGGCTTGATCAGTAGCTATCGATCACACTAACAGGTAAAGTATTCACGGGCAGGCTGGCGATTCGGTCTAAGTAGAAGCTATAGCCATTACTAACATGAATGACAGCTATATAGCCTAACTGTAATTGGAATGCAAGGTTTCACTCCGGGGTAATAGCCATACAAAGAGCAGGAGAGTTCAGCACACGCACTAGACTGGCCCAACAGAATAATTTAAACCATAAATCAAACATCCATGCTGCAGTTCACCTTGAAGCTCTATAGGCTCGTCTTTGCCACTTAGACGGAAATTGCATTGAATAAGTGGTCTTGTTTTCCTATCCCATCTAAACAAGGATTTAATGTAAGGATTCAAGGATATGCGCTATAACAACACGAGCTATGGGGTGCAACTTTAAGATGAATGTGACTGTTTTCAAAAGCAACAAGCTTTTTTGTTTCCAGGAAAATCAATCTGATCTGTTGCTATAGAGAAGAAAATTCCTGCTGATAACATTACAAGGGCAATGGCAGCATTATATGGGACTTTTCAGCTTTTTACTTTGGCTGTTTTATGAAAAATCTGCCCTCCTGCATGCACAGCATTTTGACTGAAATGAGGAATTAAATAAAAATGGAATACAACAGCAGAAAGTGAGAATTTATTCTTACCAGTTTCTTAAATTACCCCTGGATATTTCACAACTATTTGCAGAAATATACAATTCATTTCAAACATGCAGTGCCCTGAAATACAGAGAATCAACATAATCGGATGCACTCTGAATGGGTGAGTCAGTGTCATATGTGTTATTAGAAATGTCCATATATTAAACAAATGCCATCCTTTGACTGAATTCAAAAAGGCAATTCATATTTTAACTTATCGCTGCTCAGCCAGATATGTAGGCGTGTGTGCCACAGGCGAGAGCTGGCCACCCATTTCCCCTGTATAACACAGAAGGATATTACTGATGGTGTTCTTCCCTAAAATACATTAGGCTTGCAAGAAATATTTCATCTTATCTCATGAGCAGATACTGTGCCTCAAAAAAGGCCTTACGCTGCACATGTGAATCCCACAAATCAAGGCGCACACATCTAGTTTCATTACTGTGCCTTCTTATCACACCACACAGATGGATAGAAGATATATTTAAATTTGATCCACGATTGTGTTGGTAAGTAAATAAATTCATAGCTTTTCGGGTATCCTCTACCATTGTGAGTTATCATTGCCTGGTTCTAGATAATAATCAGCTTTCCCTCCGATGTGAATGAGGTGAGTGTGAGTCTGAACAGGTCTGTGATCAGCGCTGGGTCCTGCTGTGAGTCTCTGTGGATGAGATGTTTACTGGGTCTTTTTGTGTGGCCAGTAGGATCCCACTTAGTGTGAATGATGGCAGCTGTGAGGGTGCCTCTGGCAAGTGTGGCTCCAACTATGGCTGCTTGGTCTCATGTAGCGTACAGCGCCAGCTGCTCAGGCTGTGTAGCACTCCAGTGAGCATGACTGATTGTGGCTGAGGTAAGCACGTCTCTGGCGAGAGTGATGCTGAACGCAGCGAGGGCGAGTGCAACCTTGGCTAAAATCATGTCAGATCACGGCAAACACCAGCCCGGTGCAGCTGGCTACTTGGTCTGTGGCTGCGTTAGCCCAACTGTGGCAAGTGTGCCTGAGTGTCTGTGACAGGGTGTAATTCTGGGTGCTGTGTGTGGGCTGCTGCTGCACAAGCTGACAGACTGTGGTGAGAGTGATTCTGGTGATCAAAGCAGCTTTGACTGCTGGCGCAGCAAGTTATCACTCTGGTGGAGTTTGCTGGTTGGGCAGAGGCTGTTATGAACACAACTACAACAAGTGTGACTGACTGACTGCAGCAGGGTGAGCTAGTCTCAGTTAAGCACTGTTTATGCTACTCTGTTTCATGCAGAAATGGAGTGTGATGCTGAAAAGCTCCAGTGCTTCTGCAATCTGGGCACACGCTGGTGAGTCTCTGGCTACAAATGAGGCAGTGACACAAATTTGTTGTGGTGCAATCAGACATAAATGTGACTGTGGGAAACTATAATTTAATTGTTATATTTGATTTATATATACACCAATCAAATCACATAAAGAGTATGTAAATACAGTGCAACATGCTATTAGACTGAAGTGGACTTAACTTACAAGTAATTACATCATAGCTCACTCAGTATTGATTCAACCTCCTAGGGCTGCACAATTAATCAAATATTAATTTCTATCATGAATTTGCCTTCACACAATTAAATAAACATGATCAGCTCCAACATTGATGTTTAAAATGCATGCTTGACTTATAAACTTCACATGCCAAATCAAGCTCCTTCTATACTTACAGCCAACCTCCACTTCTGGGGAGCTGCCGCTGTATGTGGCAGCAACAGCCTGTGAAAATCTTTCTTGAATGTTGCAGCTGCAGTCCTGAGCAGAAGAGTAAAATACAACAGAGGGCAAATGAGCAAAATAAAAATCAAATGTCTGGAGCAGAAAGCAAAGAGCTAGTCCCTTAGGCTAAATGCGGATGGTGATGCATTTTGAAGCAAGAGCAAATCATATTCAAAGAATGTATGAGACTTGTGTCTGTGCCACAAAGCAACACAACAAACTTGTACAACCACCTGAAGAAGCACAACAGTCTGCATAATAATGACTGCATGAAGGCCAAGTAGAATAGTGTCTGAATCTCCTCCTTGTCCAGTATCAGCCTAGATTTCAGTAACAGGACGATACTGTATCTATCGAGCTGTCAGACAGGCTAAACCAATGTAGTCACATTCCATTTGGCTAAAGATGTATGCCCAGTGTTTTCATTTGGTTGCATTCTGTTACTGCATATTTATTTTAGTTAGCCTTTTGTTTTGGGCACAATTTTATTTATTTTTTTTGCTTCTAGGAGATTCACTGTGAATAAGCATCAGTCTTATTGTGATGCAAATATTAGTACATTGGCAGGAATGTAACACAATATGTAAGTGACAGCAGTGTTGTTTATTTATTAAATGTGAAGTGCAACAAAATGTTTTGTCCCTAAAATCAACTAATAACCATTATATATAATTGACCTTTCACTAAGCCCCGCCCCTTTGTGATGGTCCGACAAGCTGTCGGAGTAAGCATTTAGCCCACACTGTAACTAACTGCACTCCCTGAAGAAATATTATCATATTTTTGTAAAAATGAAAGAGTGATTCCAGAGAGAAGCAGACAGAGGGGTCTACAGTCTGTGTTTGAAGGATATATCCAGGATGTCAAACTGACTCAGCAGCAACAACAGGTTAAAAAGACAAAGATAGTTAGAAGCTAAAGCCCAACTATAGGCTACAGATCACAGTGTAAAAGTGAACCACCACATCACTGCTGATCTCCACACAAGACAATGAATATAAAGAGAAGCTTTGCTGATATTGAACCAGCTGTGTGGCATCACAGTGTGTGCAGATGAATGGTGTTTGGCTTCGGTGTTCTCCAGGGGAAGTCAAACAACGTTCATCTATGACACAGAGCTGGTTGAATATCAGCAGAGTTTCCCTGCTTTCCTTCACTGGTTCCTGTACAGCAGGGTCAGTCTTTGTTTCACTGTTATAATCATTAAAAAGCAAAAGCAGCATGTGTATACATTCAGTAGGCTATATCTTCAGTAGCTAGCTAGCTAACCCTACACTTTTCAGGGTCTGATTTTGGTTTTGGAACAGGGAAGAAACGTATATCTTTTTCCAACCTCTCCAGGTAACGAGTATCATTAATACACGACGTGCCCCAGGCACAACATTTAGCTCCAAATCCACAAAACCAGCCTGAAAATGAAGGAAATCTGAAACGATTGCATTAGAGTCAATGGAGCGCAGTTGTGTTGTTGTCGGACCCTGGTCTGAGCTGGCCTGATGCTACGTTATGATTGGCCAGTCTGCATCTCGGGGTGGGATTTAGCAAAGGGTCAGTTGTAATCCTAATATTGATCAAAATAATTGTGATTATCATTTGGCCAATAATTATGCAGTCCTGCATTCATCATCACACAATAGCACAGCTATCTGACTTTTAGTCACCCAGCTATCTTCAGCCTGAACTTCAGTCCTACCAGTGTGTTGATCTGTAGTGGAAGTGACTTAATTGTTCAGTGAATTGATTTCCTAACCAACAGCTGCGACACAATTTTTTTATTGACTCCAAATTCACAGCAGGCCTCACTTATGTCTGACACAACTGGCTTGGACAATTTTAAATGGCTAGATTTAAACTTATAAACAAGCATAGCAATTATAAGCATGAGCTATTTTGTAAAATATTTTATAATTAATTCTTAAAAACACCATATTGTGAGTTAATCGATAACGTACCAGTCTTAATATTTATGAGGAGAATCTAAAAAATAAGCCCAGATGCTGTGACTCTGTTTGAGCTTGTTGGTAACTTCTAACATTCATTGAGGACACAACAGAACTAATAAGAATCAGTATTAGGAAAATGGTGCGTCAATACAGGTTAGGGATTGTGAAATTAAAGTTTTGACAAGCTAAATAGACTCTTTACTTCTATTAATGCAAAAGACACTAGTTACTTTACAAAGTTAGTCTTAATTAAAAGTAACCAATTACTTTCAAGGCACCCGCTTCAAATCATATCTTCAAAATGTGTCTCACAGTGAAGGCTTTGTACAAAAAAAATCATCACCAAGTGCATCTAGTATTTGTTTTTGTTTTTTCTCCATCTGCCTTTGAAAGGCAGGGTAACTTTCATTTATTTTGGTGCCACTTGTATACAGTAAACTAGTAAGATCACAGTCTGGTCTCAAAATAAACGGCAGCCGATGCTCCCAACAAAGTGGCGAGTACTTTCAATTCCCGAGGCACTTCTCACCGTGAATATAATGTTCTTATTATTCCCTCCGATGAGTTCAAAGACGTGAATGTTTCAGAGTTCTGTGCCTCAGAAGAAAAGAGCCACATGGAGTGCTGCTGGGATCCACATAGTGATTTAACAACATACACTCTGACATTCCCTGTCGAAAACATGGTGAGAGTATGCACTGGGGTACTTAATTTTTAATTACAGAGTAGTCCCGTGCCAATCAAAAAAGGTGATGTAAGGAAAGTGTATTTTTCAGGCAACCCAATCGCCTCAATAAATGCACACCACAAATATGTAATGTATGTATGTTTCATAGCAGATAAATAAAACTAAATGTTCCTTTACATGTGAACAACAGTGCGGTTAACGTGTGGTTATCTTTCGACACACACTTTTTGAAAACACTATGTTTTGACTTTGTCTTGCAAAAACACACGGTTTTTAGTGCCACAATCGCAGCTGGAAATGCCAAAATGTCTTGCTAAAAAGTCCTCTCTTTGTCGCCGCAACCACCCCTGAAAATGCTGCGGTCTCTGTTTTGTCTTGCAAAAACACCCAGTTTTGGTGCTTCAGACATGACTAGAAATGCCACGATGTCTTGCTTAAAAGTCCCCACTTTGGTGCCACAATTGCGGTTTGAAATGTGGCGATGTCTTGCTAAAAAACACCTGGTTTTGGGTCCACACTTGCAACTGGAAATGTCCCGATTTATTTCTAAATTGTCCCCAGTTTTGTCACTACGTCTGTGACTGGAAGTGCTGCAGCCTTGCAAAATAACACCCAGTTTTGGTGCCTCAGTTGTGGCTAGAAATGCCATGATGTCTTGCTTAAAAGTCCCCAGTTTGGTGCCACAATTGCGGCTGGAAATGTGGCGATGCCTTGCTAAAAACCACCTGGTTTTGGGTCCACAACTGCAACTGGAAATGTCACGATTTCTTTCTTAAATGTCCCCAGTTTTGTAATTACAACTGCAACTGGAAATGCTGCAGCCTTGCTGAATAACACTCAGTTTTGGTGCCTCAGTCATGGCTAGAAATGCCAAAATGTCTTGCTAAAAAGTCCCCACTTTTGTCACTGCATCTACCCCTGAAAATGCTGCGGTCTCGCTAAAAAATGTTCTGTTTTGCTGCCACAATTGCAGCTGGAAATGCTGCAATCTTGTTAAAGAACACCTGTTTTTGGTGCCACAAATGCAACTGCAAATGCCAATATTACTTATTAAAAGTCCACAATTTTGTCACTACAATTACAGCTGGAAATGCAACAGCTTCACTAAATAACACCAAATCTTGGTGCCTCAGTCATGGCTGGAAATGCCACGATGTCTTGCTTAAAAGTCCCCAGTTAGGTGCCACAATTGTGGCTGGAAATGTGCCGATGTCTTGCTAAATAACACCTGGTTTTGGTGCTACAATTGCAACTGGAAATGTCACTATTTCTTTCTAGAATGTCCCTAGTTTTGTCACTACAACTACGACTGAAAATGCTGCAGCCGTGTGGAATAACACCCAGTTTTGGTGCCTCAGTCGTGGCTAGAAATGCCATGATGACTTGCTTTGAAGTCCCGGGTTTGGTGCCACAACTGTGGCTGGAAATGGTGTTATGTTTTGCTCAAACACACCTGGTTTTGTTGTTTGTTGGTCTGGATAGTAGTCTGCAAGGGTCTGCTGTTTGGCACCCATCTCTCTTAAGGCCCCAACACACCAAACCGACATCACAGAACTAGCAGGCCTCCTTGGCCCAAAAGTTACACATGTACACACTAAACCGACAGTACAAGCTTGTATGTTCTGCGCCTGCGTGAGAGGACATACCCCCCCATACCAGCAGATGCCGTCTGTCTGTAATTGTCATTCAAAAACGGAAACTGGAGGACCGCCTTGACGCTACTTAGCCAGTTAGCACATTAACAACACAATCCACTGTTGCAAGAACAGAGCATATTTACCATGCGCCATTGAACAATAACACAAACCATCAAGAAACGTTTCTGCTAAAGAGCTCAACAGCTGAAGAAAAACAATCTTACCTCATACAACAAGTTTGTTTCGACCTCCCTCTCTCTCGACTTTAGCTCTGTTTACATTTTCTCACCTACGTTTCTCTTCCCGTGTGCTGAACTGCACATGAAAGTTTTCCTTGTCGGCTTTCTCCCAGACAGCCCTTTCTGACACAAGTCTATTCATTTTAAATCAAACCATGACTTATTCCCTAACCTTGACCGAGAGGTCCCATTCGGGCAGAAATCCCTCAAGGAAAATTTCCCCCAACTGCAGCCGGGCTGAACTGCCAATCAGAGTGATTTCATTTGCAGACGACCTCTGCTGTGCTGATGCTGATTCAACACACTGAATTTGTGGAAAAAATGCCAACTAGCACCGACAAGGGCCAATGATGTGGGACACGCGACACCGATGAGGGCTGCAGACGCTCACCAAGACGCCAGCTTTGATCCACAGCCAGCTGTCAGCATGGTATGTCAAGTCAGTTTCACACCATCCACCATCGCTTCCACCTGTCTATGACAAATTCAGCTTATATACATGTAATCAGAACTACCTCATCGTAGAAAT